CGGGCGAGGGCGCGCGCGGGGCCGCGCTCGGGCCAAGTCCCTCCGGGCGCGCACACACTTGGAGCTCCTGACCCCTGCACGTGGTCCCGGGAGCCGGCGATAGCACCCGCCCGGAGCGCAGGCCCGGGGCCCTGGAGGGACTCCGCTCGCCTTCCGTCCCTTCCCGGCGCCCTGGGCAGCTGGGCGGCTCCTGGAGACGACGGCGGACAGCAGCGCGCGCCTCGCTCTGTGGACAGCACCGGCGCGGGAGTGGGCGCTGAGGTCCGAGAGGCAGCGCCGGCTCGGAAGGGCCACGCGCGTGTCCCCTGGGAGGTTGCTCTTGGCTCTTAGGGGCACGTGCTCTAGAACGGTCAGCAGGCCACGTGGGGGACAGCTGCCAAACGCTCGGGTTTGTACTCTGCTTCGTGCTTCCGGCTCCTGGGGAACGGGCGGGGTGACTCCGCGAGCCTGGGGTACTTTCCCCTGGGGTGACACCCACGACGGTCAGGTCTGCATCAGGAACCCGGTGGTGACGCGGGCGGCCCTCCTGGCCCCAAGCCTGGCGGAGTACCGGTCCCAGTGCCTCCCGCTCAGGCCGGATTCCTTTGACCAGAAGGCCGTCCATCACGGCGCTGTCCATAGCGCCTTCTGCAGTGATGACCACATCGCGACCTGCGGTAGCTCGGCTTGTGTGACCACAGTGGCTTGAAATGTGGCTCAGGTGTCCGGGTCGCTGAATTTTTCATTGCATCTCAATGGTCAGGGAAGCCCTGCTGACCTTCCAGCCGCCCTGCCCTGGCCTGTTCATTCCTTTCCTCCGGCTTTAGAGGCCCTTGGGATTCGATGTGTATGTTTGCAGTACTGGTGTGATTTCCCAAGAGCCTGGAGCAGGAGGAGTTTGTATGTGGCCCGATCAGGACGTGGTCATAAACGTCTTCACTGGGGCTCTGTAGGAATTTTATCAATAAAAACTGACGGAGCTGGTCTCTGTAAGGAAGCTTCCAGGTGTTGTGAACTCCCTCCTCTCTTATCAGCTTGTCACATCTCCAGGGGCCAGCTTTTGGCTGAGAGGTGGGCTTTGTCCTTCTGGGGGCCTCTGAGGTGGAAGCGTAGAGACTGGGACCCCCCTCAGGGAGGGGGGTGACAGTCCTGTGCCCACAGCTCTTGGCCACCGTCCCCCGAGCAGGTTGCCTTGGCCAGCTCGTCACTCTCCAGCCATGCATCAAATGTCTAGTGCACCTGCCGTGTGCCAAGCAGCATGCCAGCCCCTACCCCCGAGGCCCTGAGGTGGTGGGGCTTCAGAGTGCTGACCTCAAGGTGACCCTCTGAGTGCAGGGTGCCTGGTGGGTGGTGGAGGCTGTTGGGGTGCCTTGTCCGGTGTGGGTTCTGCAGACCGAGAGGGTGGAGGTGGGGGCGGGAGGGCTCGCCCTGACACTGGGCTGCATTGACTCTGCAGGAGTTGATTGGATGACCCTGGGCAGCATCCAGAGCCCGGCAGAATGCCCCTGGGCCACAGTGTAGCCGACGCCCTGACACCTGGCCAGGAGTGTGTCATTTTATTATTTTTGTGTGTGTGTACCGTCAAATCGGATCTGACTGGTACAGGAGGAGACTGTCCCTCCTTCCCCGGCAGGGCATCTGGTGGATTAGAACTAGGAGTGTGTCATGAGTGGTCACATTGTGGTCCTGGCGCACTGACGCTCCTGGTGGACCAGCCATATGTCTCTGCAAAGAGTCTAAGTCAAGTGGCCTCTCGGCTTGACCAGGGGGAACCGAGGGCCTTTCCAGCGTGGGATGTGTCCTGGTGTGACCTCAGCAGGCTCTGGAGTCGCTGGACCCACAGGGCTTCAGTCTCAGCTCCAAGACACGCGAGTCCAGCGCTCGGATGGTTCATTGGAGGCAGTAGGGTCCTGAGGCGGGGTCCTGGCCACCCTTGTCCTGCCAGCTTGTGAAGTGTGAGAGGATGCTGGAGTCATCCAGGCAGAGGGGAGCAGGGTCTCGCGTGCCTGGCTGGGTCCAGCTCGGACACCGTCCCTGTGTGGGGGTGCATTGTTGGTGTGTGTTATCAAGTCAGAATCTGCCCATAGAAACAGTGTCATTGCACAGGAGAATGCCTGCCTTTCTCCTGTGGGGCTGCTGCTGCTGGATTTGAACTGTGTGCCTTCAGGTTGGCAGTACAGCCCCTTAACACATAGGCCATCAGAGCTCCTTGCTGGGGTGGATGGTGGTTGCCGGGGGTGGATGGTGGTGGTCGGGGTAGAGGGTGGTTGCCGGGGTGGATGGTGGTTGCCGGGGGTGGATGGTGGTTGCCGGTGGTGGAAGGTGGTGGTCGGGGTGGACTGTGGTGGTCGGGGTGGACTGTGGTTGCCGGGGTGGATGGTGATTACCGGGGTGGACGGTGGTTGCCGGGGTGGACGGTGGTTGCTGTGTGCCACTGAGTCGGAACCGATCCGTAGCTGACCCTCCATTGGGTTTCCTAGGCAGTAAATCACATGGGGGGAGACTGCCCGGCCCTCCCAGGAGCAGCTCGTAGATTTGAACTGCGCGTCTTGGGGATTGCAATGACAGCATGCTGCAGGAGGATGGTTCCTAATCCAATGACTCGGATCTTTATCAGAACAGGGAAATCTGGACGTGGACACAAAGAGATGGCCAGACAGAGGCGGAGACTGGAGAGGCCCAGCCACAGTCAAGGTCTCCTGGGGCCCCCAGGAGCTGGAAGAGGTGAGGAAGGAACCGGGTTGCATGTTGCCCCCCGGGTTCATGTCTGCAGGGAACCTCCGATGCTGCCTTCTTTGGAAATGGAGGCTTTGCAGGAGTGATTCTTGATGGTGAGGTCATACTGGAGAGGGGGTTCCTAACCCAGTGAATGTTGTCAGGGGAGAGAGGGAGATGCACATGGACAGAGGCAGAGATGGGCCGGCGAGTGCTGTGTGCCTCATGTTGGGCTCTCTGGAGAAGCAGAGTCAATGAAGCGCCTTCACACGTGGATCTATGTATGTGTTTACATAGATATATGGGGTCAGTTCCAGTTCCTATGACACTCCACTGGGCGTCCATGGCCTTAAACCTCACCTGTGGAGGCGGCCGTGTTCCCCCAGCAATGACTGGGGGATTCAAAGCACTCGAACAGCTAGCGTGTGAGTTAGTGGTGCGATTCTCCGAGGACTGCGCCTCCAGACACATCTGTATGTGTAGGCGTGTCTAGTTGTGTATCTAGATCTCCCTGGTCTTTATCTGCACTCTGACCTTTGTCTGTTATCTTTGTCTGTCTAGGGAGGGAGAGGGGTTGGTCAGTTGAGCAGAGATGGCAGGCTTCCCGGGGTGGGTCTGACCTCAGCAGACAGGTGTCTCGGCCTCAGCTGTTCGGTCAAGTCATGAGCACGCAGGGTCACAGGCTGCAGGCTTCCCAGCTGATGAGTCACCGGGTTCAGGTCCAGAGGTTAGCACCATGCAACCAGTTCAGGATCACACAGAAGTCGGTCTAGCCTTGTCAGAGCCCATATGCGTCCCCTGCAGGCCACACCCCCGCGGAGTCTTGTCCTGGAGCCCACACTTGTGTCCAGTTCAGGCCGCACCCACACGAAGACTTGTCCTGGTCAGAGCAGACTGGTTCTGCTTCACGGAGCCACCCTCGTCATCATCACAGCAGCATGTGGGCTGGAGCCCGGCCTCCTTGCTCCACAGCATGGACTGTCACAGCCAGGACCACAGGTCACCGCCGGAAGCTGGAACAGTGGAGTGGACCCAACTCTCAGAGCCTGTGGCCGGGAGATGCCTGCTGGCCTCTTGCTTTTGAATCCCTGGCTTCCAGGACCGTGAGGTCATAGCTTTGGGTTGTTTCAAATCGCCCAGTGAGTGGTCCCTTGTTCTGACAGCACAGGCAACACCCACCCCCTCCTTGTCCTCTAGGACCATGTCTCTGGTGTCCCTGTGTGCAGGAGGGCCACCCCGGGGCCATTGGGTCAGTCACATGAAACAGTTAGTGCAAAGCCTGCGGAAGGGTCTGGTGCTGGGAACGTGCAGTCACTGTGGGTCAGATGCTTGGGGCCAGCCAGGGCCTCTGACTCCGGGGGACTCCACCATAGAAGAACAGAGGGCTGCCCAGCCCTGCCCCTCCTCACAGCCTCCGCTGTGCTGAAGCCGTGGGCAGTCACGGGACCCTCAGCTTTGCCCACTCTCACATTCTTAGGGAGCCCTGGAAAACATCATGGCCTGGATCAGGCTCACCTCGGTCTTTACGCTGACGTCCTTACTCTCTAGCATGCTAAGAGGTGCACCCTCTGAAGGGATCAAAGCTGTGCCCAGTGTAACACTCATTTTAGTTTCTGAACTGCTGCTAGTGGGTGTTGATTGTGGGTCCAAGGAAAAGAAAATTGTTGACAGCTTTGTCTTTCTCCGTCTGTCACGATGGTGCCTGTTGGGCCAGTAGGAAGGATTTTTGTTTTCTTTGTGTTGACGGAGAATTCCTACTAAATGCTCGTGTCTTTAGTTTTTAGGAAGGGCTTCAGGTTTTTGTTTTCTGTCAGCATATTGTGTCATCTCTGTGCTGCACGCTGTTAACGCGTCTCCCTCCCATCCCGATGCCATGTTCCTGTTCATACCGGCTAGTCTGTGGGAAGATTTGATTGAATAGGTGTGGAGAAAGGGCACAGCCCTGACACAGACTTCCTGGTTTTAAACCCCGTTGAATTCCCTTGTTCTGTTCAAA